AGTCCAGCACTTTTCATGTCTTTGGGGGGAGAAGGAAAAAAAAAAAATTGCTCCCCAGGAAGCAGGGTGCAGTGCTGGGCATGCGGGCCGCTTTGTAAAAGGGAGGGCAGCAGAGGTGAATAAAAGCGACAGGGCCTCTCTCTCTCTCTCTCTCTCTCTCTCTGAGCGTGGCGTTGCTTTCTGTTTCTGCTGCGTAGCTCAGGGTCAGCTCTCCTCAGGGAAAGGTGGCCTCTGTCCAGTTCCCTTTTATCCACATGTGGTAGAGCAGTTTGCAGGGCGGTGTGTTGTGTGTTTGTGTGCTTTTGGGTGTTAAGATGCAGCGAGCAGCAGGACTCAGCTGACTTCTCTCCTACAAAAACACACTCTTGGCTTTGCCACAAGGGAGAAGCAGACTAATACCGTTTCTTTTCCTTTTTTCGTCTTCACAAAACATCCATCTTTTTTAGTAGCAGGAGGCATCCATCCACCTCTGTCTCTGCCTCTCCACTTTGATCACGTATTCTATTTGATGCTGCTCGGGTCTAAAATAACTCCTTGGCTTGTCAATAACTGAAGCTTATGTTAGCTGAAGCCCAGATCACAAGTGGGAAAAGAACACTTGCAGTTAGTCAAACAATTTCCCTGTCAGGGAAAGGGGAAATTTTCATAAGTCCTGTGAAGTAGATTGAGCAGTCAGGTAACTTTTTTACACTGCAGCTGGATTGTGTTGGTTCAGATAATCACCAACATAGCTCCACAACATTCTGCTAGTTTTCCCCAACTGGGTCAATGTGGTGATCCTCCTGCGTGGGGAATATTTCCTCATGTTGTTTTCCCGTCACCCGCCAGCAGCCTAAATGTCAACCAGAAGCTACACAATTGGGTGCTGGCCTAGAGAGAGTGAGAGGAGGAATGAGTCAGGCAGGGGGAAGGCAAAGAAGAGTGCAGCGCTGCCAGCTGGGTCACGGCAACCCCCATGTTAGACTAGATCAAAGCCAGACTGGCCCACATCCTGTCGCAGACCTCTAACTCCTCTGTAGTTCAGCACTCGGCTCGACACTTTCATTCAATCAGCTGTACCGCTAAGAACAAAAAAAAAAAAAAAACTGATTGATTTTATGTAGCTGGTGGTGACAGATAATTTGTCCCTCCCTGAAACGAGGAAGCATGCTTGCATGGTGAGACACTTTGGAGTCGTTCTCTGAGTCATCTTGATATGTCTGGTTTTGGTTAATGTGACGTGAATGTGACCACTGTTTTGGTGTGGGTTGTTGAGTTTCAAATTTTTTCCCCTTGACTGATGAGAAAATCAGCATTGTTTTCCCTTGTATACTGATGCAGTTAGTTCATAGTTTGTTCGGTTGATTGATCCGTCTTTTGTTCTAGTCCTTGTTTGTTTGTTTGTTTGTTTGTTTCCAGGAGGGAAACGGAACAATTTCTCCACATGCAAAGCGAAGGCAGCAGCTACGGGCCCTCTGCTAGAGATGGAGGCCTGTTAGATTCCATGAAGACCCTTAAATCTCCAGACTGAAGCCTCCAGTTCTCAGAGGACCCCCTTCCCCATCTAACTACTCTTTCCTTCACGTCACCACCGCCAAAAACACTTAACTGTTTGACTCTGTTCCCTTCCTGAATGCGCCTGCTGTAGAGAGACTGAACTGAACTGAACAAGACAATCACAATTAGTAGGAGCACCCTCACACGACCCCATTCTCTCACCCCCCCCAAAAAAATCAATTTGACACGTGTTTTGTCAGCTTTCTTTATAACCCAGCTTTACTGCAATCCATTTCACTGCACTGAAAAGCAGCAGCAGCAGTTTTGATGTGTGCACAAACGTCTCCTCTGCACAACCCAAACTCTCCAAACACATCTAAGTTATTGTAAGTTATTCTTCACCTTTGTTCCTTTTGTATAGTTCAACAGGCTGACATTCATTCCCTCACCATCACCCCACCATCTCTTTCTCTCTCCCATTGGATTTTTGAGACCATTCGGGGTTTCGCCCCACTGACCAAACACCTCTTTTTTTAGACTGCACTAAGGAAGATGGAGGGAATTCATCTCATCTAAGAAACGTCCTCAAGATGCCGTTTTAGTTTGTTCTGACCAGTTGGTGCAAAAAAAGCATCAACAATTTAATTTGCTTTTCATTTAGACTGAATTTGAATGCCATTTTTTTTTGTATCA